ACACACTTCTTGATGAATTAACTGGCTTCATTGTCGATCCTCAATAATCATCTCCAATCATGATTCGCAATCAAAAAAGTTTGCCAAAATTGGTTTCTACTGTTCTGATGTTAATAAAAACAATACATTCAGATTCGGTGGACCCTAGGGATTCCTTCTTACTATACCATCATTAGTATGTTATAATTTAACTTTTTTCAAATCATCTAAAGGAACAATTCGTTCAGGCCAGTCTCAACACCCTACACAGTAGGTTAATGGACTGACACCTATCAGAAAACAACTACTCCCCTGGCTAATACCACGAAGGGCGTTGGATTATATCCGACAGGTGTCAGTGCAGGATTCTTCACATAAGTTATTCCTGCATATGCTGTTGGCAATACAACTGCCGCAATAGATTTAGAATTGTTCCTTTAGATGATTTGATTTATAGCCAGTCTTCAAGTATGCCCACTGACTATACGTGAAAAATTAACTTTTTTCTGTAAAAATCCGTAATATGTAATTCATAGTAATGTCCAAAGTTTTGTAGATTAGAAAAATAACCATAAAAGTGCCCTTGAAATTACCAACCAAAGTGTCGTGCTACCAATTTTCAGTGGTACAATGAATTGTGAAAAATGATCTCATTACGTAAATAAATATTGAATTATGGTATTTGCCCAAGTTTAAAATATCACAATGAAAATTTTGCATACAAATGTTCGTATTCAGATTCATGGAAAATTATTTTATTTATGTGTGTACATTTAATCAATAAGCATATTTATTTTCTTACAGATTTTTTATCTGAATAATTTTATTGTGTAGAGGTTTATCAAATTTTAAGTTGGCCAAAGGCCAACAAATCCAATACATGAAAAGCTGAACGTGGACTGTAGACTTGGCGGTTCGTATTGGATAATTTTTACTAATCGAGTTTTATGATTGGCTGAAGAGTCATAAAATTAAATTTGAAGTCATGCTACGGTGACGAATAGAAATCGGGGAGATGCGGGGATGGTTATCGCCGTCGTGTTCATTTCAGGAACAGATCGCGATTTCAGTGTTGAAATTCGATATTGGTGCAGTTATAATTATTTCAAAAAATTTGTTATCTGTCTTGTCCTTGGACAAGTGCTAATAGTAATAACGAGTGTGATAACAACGCAGACTTTTTCCAGTGTAGTTATTCCAATAGCGATGGTGAACAATGCGAAAAAAAAGTACCGGTGAAAAAGATTCGGATGCATTTGAATATTGAAACACAGAGAATATGTTTCAATGTATATAAAAATCTACATCTCAAGTTTGGTTCCTACAACTGAAATCATATGGAAAAAAATTAATACTTCCGGCCATAACGTGAGTTGCTGTGACAAAACTCTTCAAAATTGAATAAAGAAACTAGGTAGGCAAGAACAACGGTAAATAATTTTGTATTTGGACGAAACTTTGTATGACACTCACGACACAGTTACGAAAGGGTGGACTGACGTGTACGCCTAACATGCCTACAAACAAAGGATCGCGACTAATAGTTGTGCATTGCGGAGAAAGTAAAAGATGGGTTCCGAATTCCTTTGAAATTATGTGGAAAAACTGCAATGTTGACTGTCATAAGAACATGGAAGTTAATATTTTCGAGGAATGGTTTGAAAACACATTAATTCCAAAATCGAATGCGAATAGTGTGATTGTTATTGATAATGCTTACTATCATTCGCGACTGCTCATCAAAGTACCGAATAAAAATTTGAGAAAAGATAAAATACAAAGATTTTTAATGGATAACAATGTGTATTTTGAAGATAACTATACCAAAAACCAACTACTTGATGTTTTACAGAGAAAAACATTTGAACAAGTATTGCTGAAAAGTATAGACAAACCATACTGAGACTACTGAGACTTTCCTACTCTTTTTGTGTTTTCAATCTCATCAAGTTGATTTGGAAATTGAAACAAAGCATATCAGACAGAGATGTGAAACAGAGAATATAGAAAAGGAATTATCAAAAGCTATCATGTATTATATATTAATTGTGATTCTTACATAATCAGAAATGATTATTGAATAACGAAACCTAACTCCGACCAGATAGTTGGGTTTATTCTCCTACGCTATATGACTGACAGCGCTACGAATAACCATGATGCTCTCTAGGTGAAAGCATCTGAGCTTTTTTGTATGTGAACCTGATTTTTCAAAGATCGTCCTCTTCAAACCAAAACAGTCCAGGTTTTTTCCTCATGTTTCTTCTTGACCACAAAACAGCTGTTATCCCCTTTTCGAAACAACAAATGATACATGACGAAGGACAATTGAAGCCTACAAATTGTAGGCAACAAATAGTAGGCTTCAATTTTCAACAATAACTTTCCTCAGCATAAAATTAAAAAAATTCCGAAAATTCTCACTAATCCGATTGGTGGATGATGAATATTCAAATATTTGTTCTAATATACATTTGGTATTTGCATGTAAATATTTGTGTGCAAATATATAAACTTGTTAATATATTCACATCATCTCGAGAATTGGACCCCAGGGTGGTGTGTCGATTCTTAATCCGAACCTGCAGTTGCAGTTGAGTGATGTCTACCTGCGTAAAATAGTCTGGGTAGTGACCTCCTAATCACCTAGCTGTATGAAATATACTTTATGACTTGTATTGAAAGGAGTATTTCTTCAGGTGAGATTAATTTTTGGGAAAGTTTGTGTCTGAAAGTTACTTCTATGCATGATCTACACATCCCTCTGAAGACTTTAATGAGAAATTGATTACTTTCTTCATTTCTTTGGGAAATTCCCACATTTTTTGAAAAACAGTAGAAAGACAAATTCTTTCGTTCCCAAAAACTTTACCACTTATTCTCATACCTACTACCTACCTACCTACCTACATGCAGATGACACTCAGTTATATTATCGATTTCCTCCAAGTAACTGGCAGGTGGCAATGGAAAAAATTAACAGCGATCTACAAAAGTTACTGGATCTATCTATAGCCCATAACCTGAAATTTAATTTCTAAAAAATATCAGCCTATACTTTTTGGCCCGAAACACAAAAGACGGGAAATTGAAGGAAGAATTGAAATCCAACTTGGACAAGACTTACTACAAACAATTACAGAAAGCAAGAACTTGGGTTTATGGCTAGATGCTGATCTGAGATTTCACAAACATATAAATTCACTTTGTCGTAGCTCATACAGTATCTTACGTCAACTCTATCAAAGTAGAGATGATATTATGACTTCCAAATTGAAGTTGAAACTTTGCGAAACCCTCATATTGTCTAGATTAGCCGCGATATAATCTACGGGCCTGCTTTGATACAAACTGATGTGAATCGCTTACAAAAAATACAAAACAATTGCATCCGTCTTATGGTATGAGAAAATTCGACCATATCCCCCAAGTTCGAGGAGTCATGTTGGTTACCGATTGCTAAAACCTGACAGTTCCACCTGTCAATACACATAGCTCCACATTTACAAAAAGCCAAATTCTATTTATGAAAGATATAAAACTTTCAAATCACAGAATAATCGAGCACACGTCACACTTTTATTTTATTCCAAAACACTCGATAGCCTGCTTTTCTCGTAGTTTTATTTACAACTCTATAACCTTATTTAAGCTAAATAGATTTTTAATATTTACATTGGAATTTATAACCTTTGTTTTTTCTTAGTTTCACAAAGATTCATGAACTACTACTTATCAATGTATACTAGGTAATTATTTTTATATTTCTATATAATATAATAATAAGTGATCATTGGGTCTGAGAATCATGTGCCCTGAGCAAGCGCAGTGAGCCAAGAATGACAGCCTTCAGCCTTAGTGCGGCAAGCCGGTATGATTTTAAGATTCGAGAGTAGAGAGGACATCATTCCACCAAGGACTCCAATAATCAGAACAACCATCTTGACAGAGTGATCTGGATAGAGTCTGCGGAGTTCGAAGAGAAAATCTCGATATTTTATCCGTTTCTCATCCTCTTTTCTGACGATATTTGTCTCGCCAGGAACTGAAAACTCCACGACAAATATCGTTTTGCTCTGGTGGTCGAGAAGGACTACATCAAGCTTATTAGCTTGTATAATCCTGGGGAATGAATAGTTCCAATAAAAAGCCCATTTATTATTATTATTATTATTACTAAATATACTCAAAAAAATTCATAAAAATCGGTTAAGCCGTTTTGGAGGAGTGCGACCATCTTCACTTATTCATATTGATGTAACTGAAGAGCAGCGTTGCCGGCGGGTAAAATTTGAAATCACCAAATCTATGAAGCAAAAATCACCAGATATCAGACATTCTGTTGAACGAAAAATGAGTAGGAAATTGTGATCAAAACAAGATACACGGATTGGAACAGAAAATATATTGAAATAAATACTCATGCTGACACAATAAATGGAAAAAATTAATTAGGGATTGTATTTATATCCGTATGTAATGAATCTGTTTCGACTGAAGAATGAACAACTACTACAAAAAATACATCATCAATTCGTTAGCTAGACTTGCCCTTCACGAATAATACCTAAAAAATCAACATTATCCATGAATTTCAGCGTCATTAATAAATTTTCCTTATTTTGCATTTTGATATTTTTTATAATATGTATAGATACAAAAAAAGGTTAGGTTTAGCATTCAAAATGGGAACAGAATCACAGAACACAGAAGATATGTGATTGAACATGCCGATGATAAGAATCCGAGATTGTTGTTTTTGGTTACCGGGTTATGCGAGCGACAAGCGCAGCGTTTTTCTTCTCTCTCTCAATTTCAAATTTGTCATAAAAAACAAAAATCACCAAAATATCGCAAAAATATAAAAAGTAATCACCAAATCAAAACATTGACATGAAAATCACCGAATCTGGTAATAAATCACCAGCATTGGCAACATTGCTGAAGAGCATTTCTTTCTGATGGAGTTTTCCTTGGAGGTTTATGTAGAATTGAAGGAAATGAATTTTTTTTCGTTACAGGTGGTGTAGATGCACGGAAACTCGAACGACCGCAGGGCCCTCGAAAGGGAGGCCCTGCGAAACGTCATCAATCAGTGGAATGCCAACAGATTAGATCTTTTCGAACTATCCGAACCAAATGATGTAAGTACATAATTTTTCATCGTACAATTTGGAAAGCATGTGCAATAACATGTGAAATAATAACGAAAAATATTTTTGAAAACAACCTTTTATTCACATGCATATGAAAGAAGAAAATAGGCTCAAAATAAATCTATTCAAAAACGTCTGTTTGAAATATGTTTTTCCATTAACCAGCTGTTTCCCCCCCCCCCTGTGCGAGCTAACGATCAATGAAGTCTTACCTGTTATTGTGCAATTCCGAGCACGGGTTGGACGATAGGCAGTGAAAATCGATCTTCATTGATCGTACGACCTCGCGGCTTGAACCACCGATTCACCAGATGGTTGATTGAATGGATGGAACAAACCATCCATGAAAGCAAGATTCACCAATTTCATAAAAAGCTATGTTCCTCAATCTGTACCTGTCATCTAATGCGTCATTGTTGCATGGTGGATTTCTAACCTATGTCGAGTTATTACTCTTCAAAATTGGTATTGCTTCCATCTTATTTTCCGCCATTTAGAATTTGTCAATGAATAAATGCCAATCACTTGGTTTATATTGTTTCAAACCTTTGTTATCAATGCATTTCAAATGTCTGAACAAATGTCAATATTGTAATATTCTAATAATACTAATATTGTAATAATACAACTTTTGAAAATCTATACTGGGTTAACCGGAAATGAACCCTAGTCTAGAAGTTTAAATAGAACCCTGTATATTTTGTCCGAAGATTTGGTTGGATATGAAAATCTCTTTTCAACGAAAACTTATGTGAATTTCTGGAACTTCATCTAGCTTTTCCTAATATGACTAACAACCAGTCCGTGCAAAGCTTATTGTTAAATCATCTGAAAATGGAATTTTTAACAGGTGATGATCGACTGTATTGCCAAACATGCGCCAATCTAACTGACTTTTATAAGGAAACAAGTATATCTGAGGCACCAGTCAATGTAATAATAACACTGATGATCTTCAAACAAGACTCAACCTCTAACGGAAACAAGAAACTCTTTGGAAGGTTTGAAATAGATGAATGAATGATTTTACTACAAAAAATGTCGAAGATACAATACTGTTCATTTTTCTCTGCCAGTGAAAAGGTGAAAGTGTCAAAGCTGCTCTATATAATTGTCAGTTGATAACTACTTTTTCAATGACACAAAAAATAAACAGCATAGTACCTTAGACATTTCTTTGTAGAACACTTCGATGTCAAAGTTTAAAAAATGTTCCTTCCCATAAATATTTTCGAGATGAATGCAGTATAATATGACTTTTTTCTTTCTTTTTTTTTAAAAAAGGAAAGGAAGGATTTTTGAAAAATTTCAATTTGTGAATTTCTATTCAAAAACTGAGCAAACTCCACCTTTTGTTTCTCCCTACATGGAGTTGTTTGACAATATTTCTATAAATGACGTCATATTGTGGCCATATTGAATTTGATGAAACTACGCCGCCAATCATAAAGAAAATTTTATATCCGAACAGAGTTATATTCAAAATAATTGAATTGGATTCATTTCCAGTTAGCCCTGTATAGATTGTTAAGTGTTTTAAAATTAAAAATATCGGTTTCGACGACCTATACCTTCAATAAGAGTTTCAAGTTTCTTTCCTTATAAAAAGCAGAATGGCGCTATGTTCAATGTTTTCGTTTTTAGTCTGCATACGTAAAAGTTTTCAATGTTTGAAAATGTTTCTAGGATTCAGGTTTAATCTTCTAAAATATGTGCCAATCCATTATTTTTTAAATTTCGCCAAGCAATTGTCTTGAGTCAATAAAAATTTTGAAAAGTCCAGATACCGCAGAACGATGAATTGAAATAACATAAGAAAGGGTTTGCTTATCACCAAAATTTTGAAACTTATGAATTTTTTTCGATTAAGCTATGTTGAGATTATTCCAGAAAAAAGGAATGATAATATAAACGCAAAGAATTACTCATAAATAAAAAAAAACTCTATTTGTGAAATTATAAAACAACAATAAAAATTAATGGGCGCACCGGGGCGACTTTATTCATTCCAGTGGCGCATTTGCTTTTTCAGCTGCAGGAAAACCCGAAAAATCTGCAGCACCAGAATTACTTGTTGAAAACATTGATTTGGACTACTTTTGTCATGAGCACCGATTTCTCGATTTTTAAAATTTGTATATTCTTCTTCTTCTCAACTAACTCTTCACTTTTTCAGATGTGTGGCTAATAGAAATTATTTCTTTCCTACGAAAGTTTAGATATTCTTGAACTTCCTGAGATGTAGGTACTATAATATTTCAAATTAAAATATGACTTCATAAAATCTAAAGATCAAATTCGTTTTATTCATGAACTTTGTCATAACTCCAAAATATATTGGCTACTCAACCAACACTATTAATCAATCATTCACTTGGTTTTTTATACGAACATGATCTATCAGTAACTCTAATGAATTATCTTCGAAACATATCAACAAACTCATCAATATTACCTACAAGTATATGTCGATAATGTGATCCTAAAAAAGCGAATAACGCGACTCTCATTTTTCAGTATCATCTTCTGGAATGTGCATAAGTAAGTGGCTTGAATGGTGAGGATAGGTTTAGTACCTACTTGAAAGTCATTCCTGGAATATATGAAATATTATAGCAATATTGTATACCAGACTAATCGAATTCGAGTCTATGCATGGCATCTCGTACACATTAAAGTATATATAGCATTATAAAGTATATACGAGGTCCGGCTATTAAATAACGAGACTGGTTACGAGAAATGATTTTATTATGAAAATTACTCTACATTCGAATGCTCCCCTTCAATATACTTCCCTACCATCACACACCTTTCCATACGTTTTTTTCATTGATCGAAGCAGTGCTGGAAGTCTTGTTAGGGCCTTTAGGAGCTCTGCTGTTTTTTGCTTTACCGCTTCCATCGACTCAAATCGGGTCCTTTTCGAAGCAGATTTTATATTCAGTAACAAAAAAAAAGTCGCACGGTGCCAAATCTGGTGACTATGGCGCGTGTTCGAGCACTGGAGTGCGTTTATCGGCTTCACAGATAGCGCATTATGGACAGGTGCGTTGTCCTGGTGCAAAATCCACAATCCAAAATCCAATCCTGGTGCAAAATTGATAAATAGTAAGTCTGGTTGATAGTCTGACCCTCTGGAACCCATTCAGTCATCACGATACCGTCAATGTCGAAAAAACGATCAACATTACCTTGAATTTTGATTTTACATTCTTGATTTTTTGATTCTGGGCGATTCAGGCGTCTTCCAATGCATCGATTGCAGTTTTGTTTCAACATCGTATTGAAAAAATCCGCGTTTTATCGCAAGTAATAATGTTTTTCATCAGACCGGAATCTTCTTCTAACCTTTCAAGGAAATCTGAGCAGACCTGATGACGCAAGAGCTTTTGGTCAGAGTCAGGTTTTTTGGCACCAAGTTCGCGCAGAGTTTTGTCATGTGTAATTCTTCGTGTGAAATTTTTCTATGTGTTTCTTTATCAGCGTTTACAACCTCCGCAAACATCCGGATATTCATGCGACGATCTGCACGCACAATTTGGTTGATTATGGTCACTGTATCCGGAGTTGAAACAGTGACAGAGCGACCTAGACGCTGGTCATCTTCAGTGCTCTCTCGGCACGAGATTGATAATTGTCCCAATAGGCGTCTGCTAACAATTTATAGCACTCAATCGGAGTTTTTTTAATTCAACGAGAAATTTGAGATTGATACGTTGCTCCTGTTTTTCGTCACACATGGTTTTCGGCACGAGAAAAAAACACGTTCGTTTCAAACCGCTACAGCACTAATACTATAATAGTGACAAAAACTTGTTTTGATACGTGAATAGAAAAGATTTCCAGATACCCAACGTACTACTCGTTTTTTTCCCACCCCTCTGGGGCGCCCAGTCTCGTTATTTAATAGCCGGACCTCGTACTGTTTCGAAATTTATGTGACAAAATGAACTCCGGATTGATGCCAAGGGGGATTGAAAAAAAGTATATACAGGGTGTCATGAATTCAGATGGTGTTTGCCTATCATATTTTATGAAAATAAGGTAATTTGAACGTATGTCCTAACTTGCTTCGTTTCCGAGTAACGGGGTGTCAAAAAGTTTTACTAAAAATATTGTACTTTTATTGATAACTCGAAAGTCTTTTCGCCAATTTTGATGAAACTTTGTGAGTTTCTTAGCAGTAACAAGCGACTTCTTATCATGAAATTAGATTACGGATAATAATTCCAGTGGCGTCACAGATTGATATCTATGGTAAGAATCATTGCATGCCTCTGTTTCTCTCCAAGTTTGATATTTTTATCAGATTAAACAATCAATAAAAAAACGTGTTTGAAGACAATATTTTTAGTAAAACTGACACTCCGTTACTCAGAAATGAGGCAAGTTAGGACTCACATTCATGTGAACATTTTTTTCATAAAATATGACAAGTAATCACCACCTGAAATTTTATGATATCATTTAAGATATACCCTGTATAGTGGATTGAATTGTGGTAGAGTTGACTGTTTCAGGAAATTTTTTATCATCACACCTCCCACAGGAATCAATCAGTAAAAGTACACATCTTGAGACTATTGAAGTACACTGCTCAACAATTGAAGTGTTTTTTATTATGTGCAGAGTTTTGGACCATATTCCTATATCTGTTTTTTGTGGATATTGTAGGTATAAACAATATACGAGGGGTACTATTTATTTTTCGGGAATAGCAAATAATAACAAACATTTTTTAATGAAAATGGCTTTATTGTTTCTCGAAATATTCCCCTTTATGATCAATACACTTTTGCATTCGTTCAAACCACTTGTCAAAATAGTTTGTCCATTCCTTTCGAGACCTCCAAAACATGGTTTTTGAACGCTTCAACTGCTTCTTCGTCGCTCGTAAATCGTTGACTACGCAGTTCACCTTTACTATTTGCGAACGAGAAGAAGTCATTAGGTGCCATCCTCATCCTCAGTGCAGTCCATCAGGA